CATCAGGTTGATTGAAAGACTAATCATTGCCGGACCACAAGTCATGGGAATATGGGGAAGAACTGCACAAGTTAGTTACATATCACTGTGTAACATTAAGTCAAACCAGGCATCTTTGTTTAATGCTTTCTTTCCTTTTCCTTTAAGTGCTGGGGACTCATTACTACTGAGCTATATTCCCAGGCCGCTTTCTACTTTTGACCTTGAGATGTGACCCACTAAGTTGCTCAGGCTGGCCTTGAACTGACTCTGTAGTTCAGATAAGTTTTGAATTTGCAGTTTTCCCTCAGCCTCTAGGGTAGCTGGAATGGCAGACCTGGGCCAGGAAGTCCTGGGAAGGTCTTTCTCTGTATTTTCCCCTGCCCTCCCTTTCTCCCTTCCCCACTTTTCTTTCTGCTCTTTTCATGTTCCCTGGCCCCAGACAGGGTCTCATTATATGGTCTTGACTGGCTTTCAACTTGCTATGTAGACCAAGGTGTTCTTGAACATACAACACACCTGCTTTCATCTGCCGATGGCTGAGGTCGCAGGTGCACATCATCACATCTAGCAAGATGTATTATAAACTCATAGCATCTGTGATCAGGCTCTATGCAAGGCTGAACACCAATAGCCTGTTAGTACTGGGCTTTCCCTTAGGCAGGACTGGGGAAGGATTTGCGTTTAAGGTCACAGGATGTTGATAGCGTTCAGCGCCTTGAAGCCTTAACCAACTGAGGCAACATTCAGGTTTTCTGCTGACTGGCACTTGGAAGTCACTCAGTTTCTGGTCACGTGTCCCTCCCTGTTTGGTCTCTTATCCCACAGTGGCTTGCTTCTTCAAAGTCAACAAAAGATTAGGTCTTCTAGAAAGATGGGCGGTGCTGTCTTTTATCATGTAGTCACACACACATTCAAGAGCATCCTGTTTTCGCCATGGTTTGTTGGGTGGAAGGTGGCAGGCCTATACTCAAGGGAAAAGGGTTCGGGGAGGGTGCTGGCCCCAGGAGGAAGGACCAAGGAGGCTACCAACATCTGCCCACTCTACAGATGCGTATCTTGCATGCTAGCAGAAAAGGATTATGGGAAGCTGGCTAGTGAATGGCTCAGGGTGTGGAACCTCTGGCTTTCTCATTCTGAGGAACAGGCAATCCTTTCTCTGAGCCTTTCAGGAGAACTTTCGGAAGGAGGTGGGACAGACAGGGCTGTTTGACACCAGGAGAGAAGCAGTTTGACAGACTAGGTTCATTTAAGTGAGGCGTGTGAGAGGTGCCATTGAGGTGGGAATGGGAAGAGTAGGGCTTTCCAAGCTGGTTGTGGTCGCCCTTGTCCCCAATCCCAGCACTCAAGGAACTAAGGCTGGAAGACTGTAATGAAGCTAACTCGAGCTAAATAGTGAGCTCCAGGCCAACTCGAGCTACAGGGCGAGACCCTGTCTCAAAAGGGAATGGTCTCACTGGGCAGTGGTGGCACACGCCTTTAATCCCAGCACTTGGGAGGCAGAGGCGGGAGGGTCTCTGTGAATTCAAGGTCAGCCTGATCTACAAAGAGAGTTCCAGGTCAACCAGAGCTGTTACACCAGAGAAACCCTGCCTCAAAAAAATCAGAAAGAGAGAGAGAGAGAGAGAGAGAGAGAGAGAGAGAGAGAGCCTTTGCCAGTCCATTGGCTGTAGGACCCTGTTGCTGAAGGTGCTGAAGGAAGGTGGCATTGTCCCTCTCCTGCAGGTATGGCAGTGTGGAGGGAAGATCGAGATCTTACCTTGCTCCCGGGTCGCTCACCTGGAGCGATCCCACAAGCCCTACGCCATGGACCCAGTGTAACATGACGGGGCCAGTTTGTTGGGGTTTCTGTCCCGCCCAGTACCCCAACAAGCCAGCAAGTCCCAAGGAAAATCACACGGAGTCTACATCAGGTTATAAACTGATTGGCTCATTAGGTCAGGCTTCTTGTTAACTCTTATAACTTATGTTACCCCATTATTCTTATCTACGTTAGCCACATGGGCTCAGTACCTTTCTCAGTGTGACAGCTTACATGTTGCCTCTTTGGTGGTCTGGACAGGAGTGGCTAGAGAGCTTCCTGTGTCCCAGAAAACTCCCAGTCTCTTTGCTCCACCCCTACTTCCTGTCTGGCTTTCCTGCCTATACTGCCTGCCTGGCCAATCAGTGTTTTATTAAAATATGGTTGACAGAATACAGACAATTCTCCCGCACCAACCCAGCGATTCCCTTGCGGCAGAACGCTCTGCGAGTGGCTGAAACCTGGATGGACAAACACAAATACATGGTCTACTTGGCCTGGAACCTTCCTCTCGAGGTTGGTCCTGCACTGAACAGAAGGAAAAATAAAGAAGGAGGAGATAGCCGTAACGGTGGGGACAAACAAAGCATCCTAGGCTTGATGGGGTAAGGTGCGGTCCCCAGGGTGACGAGAGTTCGCAGTTGGATGGACGTATGACCCTGTGTACAGGTACTTGATGTATTCAATTTTCTCCCTTGGGTTTTTTTTTTAAATATGGTGTCTTCATAGTATCTGAGGCTGGCATAGAGCTCATGGTAATCCTGCCTCAGTTTCCTCAGTGACGGGAATATAGGCCTGAGCCCGCATACTGGCTCATATATGAGTTCTTTAACCACCAGAGTGTACCTCCAGGGTGTTTTGTGGATGAGGAAGCCCAGAGATGAAGAGAGGTTGAAGATAACACTGGGGCAGGCAGTGAGGAGCAGAGACAAAACTCAGACATGTCCACTGTCCAGATTCCATGCTCTTCATTTGATAGTGAGAAGCGTTGAAGACAGGGCCTTCTCGTCCTCCATCTTCCCCTAAAATAGGGACTTGTGTAGCCCTGACTGACTTTGAGCTTGCTCCGGAGCTGAGGAGGACCCTGGGTTTCTGACCCTCCTACCTCCATTTCCTAAGGGCCAGGATTATAAGCATGTGCCCCCACACTTGGATGCAGTGCTGGGGATCGAACCCAGGGCTTCATGCATGCGAGGCTAGCATTCTCCCAAGAGAACAACTTACCCAGGTCCAGGCATTTGCTCTCTTAAGAGGGCACGGATAGGGCATGAATGTATAAGAGGAGGTTCTGGAGTGTTGTTGGATTCACATGAATGGGGGGCTCTGAGCTGAGCCCACTTTATCCCATCTGCCTGAGGCTGTGCTCTGTTTTCTCCCTGATCTCTGGGGATCCTGTTTGTTGAGATGTGCTTGGCTCCCAGAGACCAGTCACCTCATTGGCAGACTCCTTTTCCTTCACAGGAGATGCCTGGGGAGTCTCCAGAAAGCTGGGGAGGCTATGGGATTAGCCTAGAAGGAAAGCCTAGAGACCAGGAGCAGGGTGTGGCTCAGGAACCGCTAGATGGGAGAAGATAAAAATGTGCAGAAATTCCTGAATCTCCTTCAGAGTTCAAAGTCATCGAAGTGGTTACTAAGATGTCACCAGGCTCCTGTCGGGAGAGGGAGTCTCCTGGTGTTCAGGCTAGCAGGCCTGGTGGGCAAATGAGCACCCTCCCCATCCCCATCATCCTTGGTTTTCTATCTCAGCAGCGTGGCATTCCGGTTGTGTCGAGCTGTAAAGGAAGTTCCCTAAGCCAATATACTGAGTACCCTCAGAAACAGACCTCACAAGAATTCTGGGAAGGTGGTAGATATACACAGTTTCCGCATTTTCTTCTCTGTCTGCCTCCCTTCACTGTGGTTCCTCGCAAAGAGCACTTCCACAAAGTTCCCGTCACAGGCTGAAGTTTGGTACCAGAAGTTTTGTTTAAGTATTTTCTGGCCATCATATTTTATATGTCTTTGGTACCAGCGGCATCTCAAAGCAGGAGAGATCAGTCATGAGCAATCAGCCTGAGTGGCCCCCACACAGGTTCTGTGAGGAGAAGAAGCTAGCCAGGGCACCCAGGGCTCCAGGCTTCTGCTTTCCCTACGAATATGAGCTGTCAAGGTCATTTCTAGGCTCCGAGAAACAGCCAGTGCCCACATGGTCCACAGTAACCGATGGGGTCAAGGGTGTTTTGAAGCCTTATGAGTATATGCCACCCGTATTTTCTCTTCAGAACTCTGGAATTGACTATGGAGACATTTCTTCCAGAAAGGCACTCCGGGAGAAACTGAAGTGCAAAACCTTTGACTGGTACCTGAAAACTATCTACCCACTCCTGACGCCAATGCCCAACATCGTCTGCTATGGAAGGGTATGCGCTGGGAAGCTGCAGTTCAGATTAGAACTGTTTCATTGTAAAAAGACAAGGCTCGAAACCCAAAGCAGTCAAGGGGTCAAACCCATTCGGCCCAAGTCTTGGTCCTGAGAGGCTTCCTTTCTTCTCTTTCTTCCCAACGTCTTGTTCCTTTTCTCCTCCACCTCTGTTCCTTTTGTAAATGCATCCCCTGCTGGACCCTCTTAGCTCCCACCCCACATTTGCCTACCCACCTCTGAAATGGGCAGGATCAGACCACCCTCTGCTGGTTGTGTTTTCTGTCCTCCCGTGGTATACCCAAAACTAAAACCAAAAACCACAGGACCTGGAATATCTGCTTTCTATGTTTCTTTTGGTTGTATTTTCTCCTTTAGATGAAAAATTCATTGGATGACAGCATTTGCCTGAACCGAGGACCTGTTCCAGGCAACTCCCTCCAAATGGAACCATGCCGTGAGTCCAGTGCACAGGTATCTCTCACTGGCCTCCCTGTCCAGGTAGTGGGTCTGTGCAGGCTCAGAGAACCTGTGCCACGGGTTAGAGTTTCCGTACTGTTGAAGGGTGGGAAAGGCAGAAGATGAGCATTCTGGGTAATGTGTAAGTATGTCTTGTTCATTCAAAAACTACAACAGTGAGCGGCAGGCCCACAGGGGCAGGGAGGACAGGCAGAAGGGCTCTGTTGATGACATTCATCCTCCGGGTGACAGTCTTATGGGCAGTCTCCCCCATCACTTCTTTTCCTCTAAACGTGTGCCTCTGCTATTCATTATTCTGATGTGTGCCTTGGGCATTGGACAAGCAAGCCCACCTATGCTCCCGCAGAAGGAAGCAGGCCAGAGAAGAGAGGGAGAAGGAAGAGCCCTTGCCTGTTGGCATAGATATGACACCAAGTGGCGGGTGTCATTGAGAATGCAGACATATATTACCTTACTTTGCTTTTATACAATGCATTTAAAGAAATATTTATTTTATGTGTATGAGTGTTTTGCATTACATTTGTGCCTGGTGCCCAGTGCCCACACAGGTTAGAAGAAGGTACAGGATCCCATGTAACTAGAGTTACAGATGGTTGTGAACCACCATGTGGGTGCTGGGAACTGAACCACCATGTGGGAACCACCATGTGGATGCTGGGTCCTTTACAAGAATATCCAGCGCTCCTAACTGCCGAGCCATGCCTCTAGCTTTGCTACTCCAAATCTTGGTTTGCGCGCTTCCAGCTACCTCCTCCCAAGAGCTGGGTCTACAGATGCTTGTCAGCTCACCCGGTTATGCAGTGACAGAGATCGCACCCAGAGCTTCCTGCATGCTAGGCAGGTACTTGGCCCACGAGTGGCATTGCTGGCTACCTTTTTACTTGGTACATTGTCCTTGCAGAGAACGTTTAAGGGGTACCTGGAAGAGGTGTTAGCCACAGAACAGTTGGAACCCTGAGTCACAAAGACCCATCCAAGTTGACTGAAGGTCTGTATCAGGTTAGGGATTTGAAGCCAGGCTGCTTCCCTGCAACTAGCATCACTTGGGCTTCTATTGGTGGTGTCTGAGCTTCAGTTGAGAGAGTTCTTCAAAGATAAACCATGTCCATCATTTATGCAAGCCATGCTCTTTTAGAGTCAAGTTCATCAGCTGTGGTAGGATACCTGTGATCGACAACGTAGGATCAAAAGATTCATTTTGGATCAAGGTACTAGTCCGTGGTTGCTTGCCTCCAATGCCGTGGGCCTCTGGTGAGGCAGAATATCATATTCAAGTTGCTACCAGGGATGCAAGCATAGGAGGGGGTGGGGGAGAGACTAGGGACAAGATGCAATCCCTAAGATCATGTTCTCAGTTCTCCTACGACTAGTCCTCTCCGTAACAATATCATCAAATTATAAATCCACAAAGGAGATGATAAATCCATTGATTAGATCGGCATGTCTAGGACTCAGTCATCTCTCAGTGATTGGATCCATAACTGACCATCAACCATCCAACCTGTGAGAGTTAGGAAGGGCATTTATAGCCCAGCCTTTACAGAGCTCTTGGAGAAAGGAAAGTGGGCCGAGTTGCCCTTTCTTGTGTCTGCCCTTCTTGCTAGAATGTGCTAGGCCTGGTGAGTAAGGCAGTGAGCCCGCTGTCCCAGGCTGTTCTTGCTCTCCTGATGTCTAGGCCACCCATCTTCACGTCTTCCCCAATCCCTGAAGTTTCTATGCCCATGTATAGGGAGTAAACCTTGGAACTGGCTGTGAAGTCGCATCTCCTGGACACAGAACAATGGTTGAGAAGAAAAAATACTTAAGACTTCTGTGTCTCCAGAGGACTTGAGCTCAAATCCTACCCTAGGCACTTTTAGGATGGTCCCAACCCTCTGTTTAGCCAGCTAGGCTTTCTAGTGTAGTTTCATGACGGAGGCCTCCCCGCTGACTGGGCCCAGCATGGTGTCCGCGCTCTCTTGTAGAACGTGTACTACCTCCTTTCTGGGGAATTCTATGTGGGGGAACTCATTGCAAAAGAAGACGTCCATGAACAGTACTGCCTGGTGGACTCTGGCCGCGGGGAGGAGCCCACATTGGAGCTGTGTTTGGAGGCAGCGAACAGAGGACAGCACATCTATTGGGATTTCCAGCAGGTCTGAAGCTTGGGTTTGAAAGGGCAGCTATGCAAATACAGTATGAAAGATTTCGGTTTGGTTGTATCTGTTGTGCTTTAGGAAAATGACTTTCTGTGTTAGTGGGTAGGAAAAAACTGAGCACACACACACACACACATCCTAACAAAATTCCCCCAATCATTTCAGGATTTGTTGTACCACCGTCTTGTTGCTGTGTGTTGTTGCCTCATGGGTGATAGTTTCTGATCCATCAGGAGGGCACTTCATGGAGATTGCCTGGCAGTGATCCTTACTTAAGACAACAGAATACTTTGCATCAGTGGAACTATCTGTGAAGCTGGGTCTCTTGAATTACAGAGGAGCAGTTAAGAGAGAAAAATACTTCAAATTGCTGTGGTTCCAAAGAGTATGGGTTCAACAAGGTATCATCACTTTTAGAAAGTTCCCTACCCTTTCTGTAGCTAGTTTCCCTTATGTATAACATGGAGACAATAAAGATCTACTTTATGGGATTAAGCGAGATAGCATGTGAGAAGCATTTGGCACATGCCCAGCAAACAGGAACATTTGATTCATGAGTCACTGCCTGTAATTTTATTAGTAATAAGTATCAGGCTTGGGAGCACTGGGTGGAAACATGTAAAAGCCCTTCCTTCAGCTGAGTGCTCACCTATAACTCTAATGCAGATGCAGGAGGATTACCAAAAGCTCAAGGCCAGCCTGGTCTATGTGGTGATGCGTTCAAGGCTGGCCTAGGGTTATAGAGTGAAACCCTTCCTCAAAGAACAAACAAAGCTCCTCCTTTGACATCAGCATTGAATGACCAGAACAGAGTGGAGAAAATTTGCCAGAAGTCCTCTGACTCCTCCCTATCCACTCCTCTGTTTCTATTCAGAAAATGGCAGGCCTCCCATGGCACATCAAGTTGTAATAAGACTAAGTACCTCCCCTTGTATTAAGACTGGGCAAGGCAACCCAATATGGGGAATAGGGTTCCAAAATCCAGCAAGAGAGTCAGAGACAGCCCTTGCTCCCACTGTTAGGAGTCTCACAAGAAGACCAAGCTACACAACTGTCACATGTATGCAGAGTGCTTAGGTCAGTCCCATGCAGGCTTCCTGGTTGTTGGTTTGGTCTCTGTGAGCTCCTTCCTTTGAGTACAGGTTGGTTGTTTCTGTGGGTTTTCTTGTGATGACCTTGACCCTTCTGGCTCCTACTTTTTCCTCTATCTCTCTTTGGTGGGATTCCCTGATCTCAGCCTAATGTTTGACTGTGGCTCTCTGCATCTGTTTCCTTCAGTTGTTGCATGAAGCCTCTCTGATGACTGTTGAACCTATGAGTATAGCAGAATATCATTAGGTATCATCACATTGACACTTTTTTTCTCCAGTCATGTTTGATTCTGTCCTGCCTCTGGGTTGTGCGGGGGTAAGGGTGGCACAGAGATTGTAGGAGGGGCCAACCAATGACTGGTCTAGCCTGAGACCCATGCCACCCACGAGATTGAGCTCACCCCTGACACTGCCTGGAGCCAGACACCTAGGATAGACCCAAACATGACTGGTTTTGCTTTATTTAGAAGAGTTTGCTGTCAGCTATGGAAATCCCTTCGGGGAAAAGTATGCGAAAAACAACTGCAGAGGTTTTCAGTCTCCCTGAACTGAATATTAATTATGAGGAGGAGGGAGAGAAAGGGAAGGAGGAGGGGTGGGGAGAAAAAGAGAGGTGAGGAGGACCACTCTGAGTTCTGATGACAGTGAGTGGCCAGACTACATAGATGCCTATGTAGGCATCATTCTCTTCACCAAGACCAGAGAAAGTGTCCCTGTCGGTCCAGGCAGTCCTTCCTTCAGGGAGCCTTCCGTGATCCCTAATAGCGGGGTGGTACTTCTCTACATACTTAGGGTTCCTTTAATCCTTGTCTCATTGTCTCTTAGAATACTGTTTACTCAAACTTTGCTTTTTTTTTTTTGAGAAAGGACCTCACTCTGTGGACATGGGCCTTACAACCCTCTGCCTCCAGAATGCTGGTAGTATAGGTGTGCACCTCCAGGCCTGGCCTCCCTCACCTGCCTCTTTCCACCACAGAGCTACAACCTGTAAGGCCAGGGCCTGACTGGGTTTTGTCTGTTGTGTGGAACATGGTAGGTATCTGACAAGTGCTTGAGAACCAAGTGTAAGATTGTTGCCCTTGGGGTATCAACTTGGCGAGGTGGAGGAGGACACAGGATTATGCTGTCTTCCCTAAGCAGAAGAGCCTTGTCAACCCTCCAACACTATGACAAGGACCTGAGTTAGTCAATTCATAAAAGGAGAGCATTTGCATTGGTTCCGTTTAGTTCCTGATTAATTGTCCCCACAGTTGGAGGCCTGTAGTTAGTCAGCACATCATGGCAAGAACACATGGTGAATCAAAACACACTCAGACCATGAGCCAAGAAGCAGAAGAGAGAGGACAGCCTTGGGCTCTCACCCAATAGCTGGAGACCTATCTCTAAGTAGTTTCCGTTGACTCCCAACAGTGCCATGCTGAGGAACAAGGCCCAAACACACAGGTCCTTGAAGAACGTTCCAGACCCTAGTGATACTGAGGAGTTGCTGGTGAAGTGGTCTGAGACCAGGAGCTAGGACTCAGGAGTTGGGAAGGACTTTCTACCAGGCCAGTGGGTTTAGAGACCCTGCAAGAACAGACTGACTTGCACTGTCATGGCTTCTCTAGGCAATGGGAGTCACCAGGCCCAGCTTGTGGCAGGTCTAGTGTACTATGGGATTTTAAACCCTTAATAGACTTGTTACTTCATGTACAAGTCTAACAATGCTTCTCTAGGCAATGGGAGTCACCAGGCCCAGCTTGTGGCAGGTCTAGTGTACTATGGGATTTTAAACCCTTAATAGACTTGTTACTTCATGTACAAGTCTAACAATGCTGAACCATTAATTTTATCAGGTCTTTTATGACTTAATAAATTGAATTTCCTTACTCACTGAAGACTATGTTCATAAATCACTCCCAGTATTTAACTTTAAATTTAATGATCCTTAATCTCCCAAGTGTTTACAAAGTACAATCTGAACATGAAGTCACAAATTCAATTATTTGATGACACATCTTAAAATTGGCATGACAATGTTAATTAGTAAGATGTTGACTTTTCTTAAACAGTGCATTTGTCCTGGTAGCATTCTTTGGGAATGTGTTGAGTTTCCTTAAAGTCATATTTTATGACAAAGCTTCTGGAATTAAAGATATGTTTGCCCTAAAGAAATAAGTAATAAGTATTCAAACATTTGTAACGTTGTCTTCCCAAGAGGATTTTGGAAGATGGCTGCATTATTAGTGACTTTTCTCTGTATTGTACCAAAATGTTTGACAAAAGCAGCTTAAGGCAGGAAGGGTGTCCTTTGGCTCGTGGTTTGAGGGTGCACAGTCCGCGATGGTGAAGAAGGCAATGCTAATGCAGGAATCTGGTGAGTGCTGCCTTCTCCCTTTCCCCTCTTTATTCAGCCTCAGATCCCAACTCAGGGGATAATGCCATCCAAATTTAGCATGGGTCTTCCTTCCTTGGTTAACTTTCCTGAGGACACCCAAGAGTGTGTCTCCTAGGTGATTCTAAACCCAGTCAGGTCAACAGGGAGATAAGTCATTGAGGTTAACTAAAGAAGAGATGCTTTTATCTGTGTGGAAGGCCTGGCCTGCAGGACAACAGAACATTCTGTCTGCCACTCTGAGGCTGAATCCAGTTCTGTTTATATGACCTCTGTGACAAGAACTCCACTACAAGTTAAAGAGGAAGGTGATTGAGTGGTTCCTGGCCTAATGCCTAATGCTAAATTCATTTGAGCCAATTCCTCCTCTCTAGTCCTTTCCTATCCATGTTAGGTCCTAGAAGCAGAAATGTTCAGATATAAGAATGGTATTTTGTTGGATGCCCAGAGTCTCCTACCCTATTTACTTTGTAGACCCAACCTACAAAAAAGTTCCCAAAGAACTGAGAGGCAGATGTGGTTATTTGCTCTGTTTACTTCTGCTCTCATGAGTCTGAGTCTTGAGTCATTCAGAGCAGGCTGTGACCTCTGAGGAGCACAAGGAGCCAGTGTCGGTGACTTAGAACAGACCTTTTAGGAGAGGATGGGTCTTGAGACATGTGGGCACTCATGTGAGGAGCCTGGCATCCGGAGCAAAGCTGAGCGGGGTGGGTGAGGTGAAGAGGGCAGCATAGACCCAGAGGGGGCTTCTGGAAGTGGTAGGAGGAGCAGATGGCATCAGTGACTGAAGGGTGCAAGGGGCAGCGTCCAAGGGATGTGTGAAGTGAAGAAGAGAGAACTCTCTTGGAAAGACAAGGAGTACAAAGGGAAGGGTCCAGAGAGCGGGTAGTGAACACGGACTACCAGGTTTCCAATTGCTCAGCTGTGGCCATAAGAAGGAAGAAACTGAGTGGGGCGAGAGAGTCTGTAGGAGAAAAAGAAGGATCAGCTTCCCTCCCTCCCTCCCTCTCTCCCTCCCTCCCTCTCTCCCTCCCTCCCTCCCAGACAGACCAGGGAAGGGGTACACAAAGGTGGCCTTAGAGCCACCATATGACTAACTTCCCTGTATCTGGCAGAGGACCCTCAAGGAACAGTGACCCCAATTCCACCCTTCACATAACTTCTAAACCCATTTTAGAGACAAGGAAATCAGACTCAGAAAGGTCATGAAAGTTGCCCAAGGTCCCGGGGTGTATATATGGGAAGTGAAGGCCTCTACCTCAATTCTGCAGTTACGCTCAATGAACAGTGACAGGAGGGTACCACTCAGAGGGGTGAGGTAAACGGGCTGAGACTCCTGTGCTGTTTCTGCTCCCTCTGTGAAGATGTAGGGGACAACAGGAAAAGTGGTCCTGAGGGGTTCTGTGGGCTCAAGGGTGGAGAAGTTCAAAGTCGGGCACGTGGCAGAGGGATATGCCATGCAGGATGCAGCCATGATTCCCAGCTGAGCGCAGGGCTGGTCTTTTACCCCTGCGAGACACCATAGCTCCAGCTGCCAAGCTTGGACACACAGCTGGGCGGAGATCTGTAGGCAGGCTAACTCTACTCTTTGCTTCTCTTTCTCCTCTGGAAGAGGTCTGAGGAACTGTGCAGTGCAAATCGGACCACGCAGCTGGGCGAGGGGATGTGCTGCCTAGGAGGCTACATAAACACCTTGACTTTGTCTCTTACATCTAGGGAAAACCCGTCAGAAACAGGAATACCGCACGGTGTCTGGAGATCAAGAAGGACCCCTCAGGTCCCTACAGGCTTGCGTTAGTGAATTGTACCCAACAAATATGGAAAATACAACATATAGGCAGAAACTCGGGTCACTAATAGCCTGTGAGCCCCAGAGATGTGGATTTGGGGACCCTGTTCCTAAGGTTGGAACAGTGTCTAGCCACAGTGCTTTTTCATACTGGGGAAGGATGAGAGATAGATGTGTTTGTCTGCTGTGACTTCAGCATGCCGTTCACAGAGGTGAGGCTTGAGCACACGTGGGAGTGTCTGCTGGGGAGAGCGAGGGAAACTCGGAAGCCTAGTCCCCAGCTCGCCTTGAGAGATCGTGATATGCATCGAGCGCCATTCTGGGAAACATCTCAAAATAGCCAGCATCGTCTGCCTGCGCTGTGGAGCCAGTGAGAGGGATGAAAGTTGATCTGTGGTTCCCACCAATGCTGTTTAGCCTCCATTCCCGACAGCTACTACCACTGCCTGGCCCCCACCTCCTCCCTGGTCATCTGCTCCCCTCCCCAGACTGTGCTGGGTTGGGCCACATGAGCAGCTGGATCCTCTTCATTTCAGAAACCTGACAGCTACCCAGGTGGCCTCAATTTCCTCCCGGTCTGGACTGTTCCAAAAGAGGCAGCAGACACACAAGTGACTTTTTCTAATTCCTCTACCACATCTTCAGTGTAGGTGCCTCTGGACAGCCAGTCTCTTCCACTGTGGCATGATCACACAGGCGGCAGAAAGCAGAGGATCCTGTGTGTGTGTGTGTGCTGTAGGCTCCTGGGGTCTCCTACAGAGTGGCCGAAAGACACATCAGCCTCAGCTGCATGGAAAGGCATTTGGCTCCATTCCAGTGGAGAGCCGACTTAAGGTACACGAAGGTAACTTTCCACTTGGGTTGGCAAATGACAAATAGTACATACACACAGCACGTTGTGTGGGCTGGGATGTGGGAAACAGGTCATCTCACACATCCGTGACAGGGTTTCAAACTGGTGCCAGCTTCCTGGTGGGCTAATTGGCAAGCCCTAAAAATAGGATATGTGCATTTTCTTTTTGCGCCAAGAGTTCCACCTCTAGAAATTTACCTCCAAAGTTATGAAAACGGGCTGCCAAGACAACGCAGAGGGTAAAGACGTTTGCTGCCAAGCACTACAACCTGAGTTTGTTCCCAGGAAGCTGCACAGTGAGAGGAGCAAACTGGTTCTGGAAAGCTGTACTCTGACCATCCACACGTGTGTACACACAGCAATACACTGATACAGCGGACATGCATGAGATACAAAAACAAATGCAAAGGAAAAAGAGTGAGAAAGTATTCATGTGCAGAGCAATTCCTTGCTGCATCGCATCTAAGTGGAAAATGCTGGAGGTGAACGACATGCTGAGCATCTGAGCCGTCAGAGACATCAACCCCGCAGACTGGCTGTGCAGCTGTGGAAACCGGTAACATCTGCGGCTGATGTGGAGGGAGGAGCAGAAGAAGAAGAGGAGGAAGAAGAGGAAGAAGAGGAGGAGAAGAAGGAGGAGGAAGAGGATGAAGAAGAGGAAGAAGAGGAAGAAGAAGAGGAGTGCCTTGCAGATACCTTTTGGTTAAATGGGGGACTTGTAATGTTCACTTCTACACAAGAAAAACAAAACAAAACAAAAAAGCCTAAAGATGGATGTGGAGGCTCCTAATTATGATCCCAGCACCTGAAAGGGTGAGGCAGGTGGATTGGGAGTTTGAAGGCAGTTTGAGCTATGCAACAAGATCCTGTATAGAAAAGAACAGGGAGAAAAAAACACAAAAGGACTCAAGGAGAAGCTAATGAAATATGGTGGTGGCTGGCAATGTGGTGGGAAGGACTGGGGCTAGAAACAGAATAGGAGGATTGTGGGAATGTGTGTCCCGGGCAACACTCCGCTAAATACATGTTTATGTAGCTTTGACATTTAGAATAATGCTTCAAAATCAAATTTTCAAAATTAAATTACATAAAATCAGAGACGAAAACCACAAATGGATTGTAAACAAAAAATGAATCTCATATATTTTCTATTTGTATTGTTTGCTTAACTTGCATGTGTGTGTGTGTGTGTGTGTGTGTGTGTGTGTGTGCGTGTGTGCATGCATGCTTGAGCATGTTGTTTGTTCTAAGACAAAGGCTCATGTGGTCTAGGCTAGCCTTAAACTGGTTATAGAATCAAGGTTGGCCTTGAACTCCTGATCTTCTTGCTTGAACCTCTCAAGTATTAGAACTGCAGCTGTGGACCACGACACCCAGTTTAGATCTAATTTCTAAATATTTTTCCAATAAAAGGAATTAGGAAATTAGGGTTCCTTAGGAGATGTCACCAACTCTTGGCTAGTGTTAGGAATATTCCTGTGTTAAAAGTAAAAAATAAATGCTCAAAGAAGGATGAAGTGAAGGCGGAGAGATCGGACACTTATAAAAACTTCCCACAGATGAACTGCCGCAAATCATGCAGCCAGAGTGAAGGAGTCTCCACTGGTAATGTTAGGGACTGTGTGAACATTGGAGTCAATCAGACATCAATTTAACAATAGATGATACCACAGAATAAACTAAAAACCCACAAGTCATTTCAAATGAATGCATGAATGAGAAATGAGTGCCCCTTTCACAGTCGAAGGCCAGCTAATTAATATTGAAATGATCGTGAATTAGAAAGTTACCATCTGGCACCCGTGGTAGCTGGAATTGTCTCAGGCAAGAATCATCATCAATGGACAAAAACTAGTGAGCGCTGAGACAGGATACACACATGGTGGTAGAGAGACTGCTTAGAAGATGTGTACTAACTCCAGAGAGAAAGCTGAGAAACCTGGCAGGCCTTAACTCGGTAGCCAGCCTCAACATCAGCGGTTGCTGGGCAGCTGCATATCATATGCCTCCCAGCAGCAGGAACCCAGAACCCAGAGCCTCAAGAATCTTGAGAAAGCTTATTAAACCACAAATGAGGGATGTTACCCAAGAAGTCTGCTCTGATCAGGGGGTGCACGTTTGTAACCCCACACTCAAGAGGCTAAAGTAGGAGGATTGTCGGTTGGTGCTGCATGTTGGCGTAACATAGTAAGACCCTGTCCCAAAACAAAACAAGACGGCTATAACAAAGCAAGATACATGCTTCAAAATGCCAAAAAACCCACAAAAGATTAGGGAGCCTTCATATTAACATAGACTAAAGACACGATGATGCATCTAGTGGTCCTATACAAGACCCTAGACTGGGGGTGGGATACTCTCTCTCTGCCCTGAGCAGCAGTGGGTGACTGGTGGTGTTTGAATGGGCTTTGTTGCTTAGATGGTAGTGCTGTGTCTACACTCTTTTCCTGGTCTGAATGAGGTCCTTTTCTATCAAAGTGTCCTTGATTTTATGAACTATCCACTGGCTGTATTGATGGGGCATCATCTCTGAGATTTTTGTGTGTGTGGATAAATGATAGCTCAACTGGTAGGTTGCTGGAGCCAAGGGTGACAAGGAAGCAAAGGTGGTGACACATGGTCACATCTGTGGATGGATGGCGAAGGACATGCAAGGATTCTTTGTGCTCCACTTGTGACTTTCTTTTAAGGCTGAAATGGTTTCAAAATAAAAAGATTTTAAAAAATTCCACCACAAATTGCCCCGTCTATGTAGATAGGCATTCCTTCTCTGTGGTTTTGTTGTCTACATATTTGGTTTCTTGGGGGTCAAGTGGTTCAAAAGCATTAGACGGAAAATTCTAGAAATAACTCACAATTTCTAAATAATTTGGTCTGAAAGCTACAATAATAACCTGCCTGCAAGATATGTCTGAGAAACGGTCTTCTTACAGAAGATGGTAATTTACACAGAGACCCACAACTGGAGAGCAAGGAGACACTAAGAAACTTCGGAGTGCTCAGTCCCAAGTAGGACCATATTCCTCTTTTAAGGCTCAGAAGGGGGAAGAGCAAAAGGCTGTAAAAGCCAGGGGTGGTGGAAGACTTCAAGGAAACAGCATTTCCAGACCGCTGGGCAGATGCACACATGAGCTCACAGAGACTTTCGCAGCATGTGTGCACAAACACTGCCTGAAATCCCAGCACAGGGGAGGGGGCGTGGGCATGAAGTCCTCTGTAGTCTATTCAGATTGGTGGCTCTGGGAGAGGGACAATCAGTTCTCTTCAATGGAGTAACAATAGGTAGGTTTATCAACTGCACTCCAGGGCCGGCCCCATGCTCTGGGGTAGTTAGTCAACACAAATCAGACACCGTTGTTTTCCTTTCTATGTAGATATTTTGTTTGTTTGCTTTTTTTAAGAAAAAGAACATGAAGTTGAGTGGGTAGGGGAAGAAGGTAGGAGTTTTGGGAGGGGAAAGATATGATCAAGATCTATGATATAAAATTATCAAAGAATAAATAGAAACATTAAAAAGTAAATTGGGACTGAGGAGATGGCTCATAATAACCTGTGTTTGGATCCCCAGAACTCATGGAAAAAGCCAGGAGTGGTGATGTATGCTTGTAACCCCAGAGCTTAGGGGAAGAGACAAGCAAATCCTGGGGGCTACTTGGCCAGCCATCCTTGCCAAAATAGAGAGTTCCAGACTCTGTGAGAGCATCGGCCTCAGAAGACAAGGTGGAGAGTAACAGAAAAAGACATGTCAGTCCATGGAGCCTACCTGCCTCCTCATAGGCATGCAGACTTGCATACATATCACACGCACACACATGTGCGCGCACACACACAAGGGGGGCAGAGACAGAGATAGAGGAAAGAAAAGAAAACATTAAAAAGAAAATTAACTTTATTGAGTTTGCTGTTGTAATTTCTCTACTTTATTATTGAGTTATTTCTCTTGCCACTTCTAATTTAAAAATTCAGCTTTATCATTACTGCATCTTTAATAAGAAAAAAACCATGAGAATATAGGGTTTACCACTACCCACCGCTCCCGGGAACTTTCCTGCGAAGTGTTTCTTCCCTCTTGGCTGTGGCCATGAAAACAACATCTGAACCTAACTTGAGCGTCTATCACTTGGAAGAGGAAACCTGCACCTCTCCCATGAGCATAGCTAATGTGACAAACGGCTTTGTAGGCTCTGGCTTTCCCTGCAGTTCTGATATGCAGGGCAGGGTGGTGACTTGCTTTCCTCTTTGGCACCTCACTTGGCATTTCATAGGTCTTTATGATGTGCCCAGATCACGACCCCCAGAGAGAGACCACCAGAGAGGCCCAGACTGTAATAAGCAAGGTTTAATCAGCATAATACAAACATGTTTGGAACTCATCTCCATCCCCATTACAACAAGGTAGAGAGGAGTTGTATATCCTCTGTGGGGTAAGCTTTTAAAGGCATAACTACAAAGAGAATCTTTGAAGATGCTTTGGCCTGGGTACAAGGACTTTGGCTCCCTCCTGTTCTGTTAAGTCAACTTTTTCCTTGTTTTTAGAACAAGGCCACTGTTCTTGGGTTAGGCCATCTTTATCAGTCTGTACCTGGTGGCTGGCTGGGCTGAGCTAAGTGACCCTGTGCTCGGAATCTCACAGGTGGGAGAGAGGAAGGTCACTATCTTCCTGGGAAAACATTCTGTTAAGAAATTTCTTCTTGCCCCTTTGAGAATAAGGGGTGAGGGTCCCACACATTAGAAGACCATACCTCTGCGGCGTGGTCTATTTCCAACTTCATCCGTCAAGAGCCGTGATGATCATGTCAGTGGCCGACGTCAGTCTGACCACATTAATACGGATTCTTCTCTTCTGAGTTTTGGGGATGCTGGCGCAGATATGGCAGGTTAACCACTGCTGACCTGGGAGTAAAGTGGCCACAAAACCCTGGCAGAGAACGAATTCCCGGTTTCCCCTAGGATTCTGCAACGGTGACCTTGCCGTGCTCTCTCAGATGGCCAGGCGGTGATGCTCCCAGGAGCGCCTTGAAATGTGCACTATCTTCTCTGTCCTATCTCAACTCTGGGTTTTCAGATACTGTCACTGATGTAACCTCTCTGGGTTCCAGGTTAAAGCCCTGCCAAACACCTCCAAGGTACAGGTAGCAGGCTCAGCTCCTCTTTCCAATCCAAACTAGCCTTTTCCTCACTCTGTAACCCATCGGACCTTGAACTTGTAATCCTTCTGCCTTGGCGCTCTAAGTTGCTGGGGGTGGGGTACAGGTGCACCCTACTAGCTCCTCTGCTGCCCTTCTTTTCTCTCCTCTTCTCCCCTTCCTCTTTTTTGGGGGAGATGGTGTGGGGCGGTGTTGATGGGGTGGTGGATGATGTAACCCTGACTGGCTGGGAACTTGCTATATAGATAAGGGTGGCTTCAAATTTGTGGCGATCCTCTTGCCTCTACCTTCTGAACGCTGGGATTGCAGGCATAAGCCATGATGTCAGACTTTTCTTCCACTTTTAAAAGCTTTTGATTAGCCTCTTAAATGAGTTGCTGGCCCTGCTTCGGGTACATTTCTATCCAGAATTAAACTGAAGGAATGGGGCTCATGCTTTCCTGTCTTCACAGGGCCTTGGATCTGGGATCTAAATGTGCTGTTGTGTTATCAAGGATGCTTCTCCCCTTCCAGAGCCTACACGGTACCCCTCCGGGCTTGACTAGTCCTGTCTTGAGTAGCCTTCCTATGAGAAAATCCCTTCCCAGAATGCAAAGGAAATTTCTATTTTTCCAAATTCCAAATCCCAAGAAAAATCAGCGGAATAGTGAGAGAACAGGAAAAACTTTGCAGTTTTTCTTCGAGAGTTAAAACCTCACATGTGGGACGATATGTTGAGCTTTTGAAGGAAGCAGATGTGTCAAATAGCACAGGAGAGCAGGAAACAGGCACACTCCAAAATTAAGGTCGATATTTTCAGAATCCAGGACAGGAGCGTGAAGAGAAAAAGCAATCACGACGGCTGGCGTCAGCTGTTCTTCCTTCTGTGTGTGCAGCATCTCCATGATGTGAACATGCGTGCTCATCTGTCTCCTCCTCATGGGTGTACAGCATCCCCATGATGCAAACATCTCCATAATATAAACATCCTCATGTTGTAAACGTGCGCTCATCTGTCTCCTCATGTGTGTGCAGCACCCCCATGATGTAAACGTCTCCATAATATACACATGCTCATGATGTAAACATGCGTGCTCATCTGTCTCCTCCTCATGTGTGTGCAGCATCTCCATGATGTAAACACGCGTGCTCATTTGTCTCCTCCCACAGTGACTGTTGCAATGGAAATTTCTTTCAGGGGGTTTTATGCAAAGCGAGTTGTCCACAGTTGAATTTACCATGCTTCATAGAAACCACCACACCAATTCTTATGAATGGTTCTCAAATGTAACAGATTTTTGAAAGCAAACTACATACAATAATTGAAATTTTCCACCTGTCATTCATTCTGCTTGGAGCTTCTGACTTCATGAAGAAATCTGAATCTTACATTATTTGAACACACACAACAGTGTTTGTGGACATTTCCCAGTGTTTAAATGCTATAAATCACACTTTTGTGAAATTACTAATTTTATCATGCCCACCCCTGCTTCTCGTATTTTTTAAAATATATTTATTTATTATGTATACAATATTCTGTCTGTGTGTATGCCTACAGGCCAGAAGAGGGCACCAGACACCATTACAGATGGTTGTGAGCCACCATGTGGTTGCTGGGAATTGAACTCAGGACCTTTGGAAGAGCAAGCAATGCTCTTAACCTCTGAGCCATCTCTAGCCCTGCTTCTTGTATTTTTTGAGACAAGGTCTTGCTATACATCCAAAGCTGGCCTTGAACTCTCAGCCCTCCTGTCTCATCCTCCTGAAGCACTGAGTCAGAGGTATGGGTTACCATATCCAGCATCAATTCAATATCTCTGACATACGAAACAGCTTTTTAGTTCTGCATCAGTGACTGTTATCATTACCATTAGAAACTCTTAGCAAGTAACTGATGATGTTAGGAATTTTTCAGAGCCCTCATTGTCCATTCTTGCATCATTCAGAATCCGGTAGGAAAACCACCCCTGACCTTGAGTAAGCCTACAGCCAACCTCCCTGATTCATTACTCCTGATCCTCCATTCATTTAACAAATCCAAAGAGGTCACGAGGGAGAGGGAAAAGAGCTTCAAGAAGGTGGGAAATAGAGAGGGTGATATGGAACGGGAAAGTAGGAGCACCAACTAACTGGGTGAGAAGGAAGCCAGCTGCAGATGGGAGGGGCACAGAGGACAGAGAGGGGAGAGAAGAGCCAATGAGACCAGAGTACAATGGTGTGTGTGTGTGTGTGTGTGTGTGTGTGTGTGTGTGAGATGTGTATGCTGGTGTGTATTGTGTTCACAAAGGTGTATGTAGGCACATGTGCAAGTGTGTGTGTGTATGTGTGTGTGATGTGTATGCTAGTGTGTATTGTGTTCACAAAGGTGTGTGTAGGCACATGTGCAGGTGTGTGTGTGTGTGTGTGTGTGTGTGTGTGTGTGTGTGTGTGTGTAGACTAGAGGTTGACCTTGGATCTGGATTGCTTTCCAACTCACATACAGAAGCAGTGTCTCTGGTCTGAAGTGAGAGCTCACAGATTTGTCTAGTATAGTTGGCCAGTTTGCTCCAGGAATCTGCTTCATCTGCCTCCTAAATGCTGGGATTACCAGCGTTACCTGCTC